AAAATTATTGCTTGTAATATCACACATGCCATCACTCACCTGATTGGTTTCAGGGCACTTATGATTTGTAATCTTCCACTTGGCATATAGCAAATCATAAATTTATCTGATCCCTTTCAGACCCCTATGACACTTAAAGATAATATGAGATAATGACTTTGTTAGTGAATTTACGATGTTAGCTTCGGATGTAACTCTTTCCACTACTATATCTCCTCAGGCCATGATCTCTCTAATAAGTTGGAACCTCCTTAGAACAATTCTGATGAGACTCGGGTTCTCTCCTTTGAATAATCGCACCGTAATTATCGTATTACAAGGGAATCGACTCCTCGTTGCCCGGCATGACTCCTAGATCTGTGATAATTTTTTTCATCCAAACTCCCTCCTTTACTACCTTTGCCACAACAATGTACTCCGCCTATATTGTCGAGTTAGCAATAGTATCTTGCTTTAAACTCTTCCAGCATACTGTTCCTCTATTCAGGGTGAACATATACCCTGAATTAGACTTGCTATCATTGACATCAGACTAGAAGCTCGAGTTCATGTAGCTCTGAACCCTAAGGCTACTTCCTTCATATACCAGTAAAAGATCCTTAGCCTTTCTCAAGTACTTAAGGATACACTTTATTGTTTTTTAGTGCTCCAAGCATCGATTCACCTGATACTTGCTCGTGACACTCAGAGCATGTACTATATCAGGCCTGGTATATAGCAAGACATATATAATATACCATATCATTAAGGAATAAGGTATTATATCCATGTTTGTCATTTCTTCAGGAGTCTTTGGTGACATACTCCTAGAAAGTGATATCCCATATCTATTGGTATAAGATATCTCTTGGAATTTTTCATGCCAAACCTTTTGATAATGGTGTCTTTATACCTAGACTAGGTCAAGTCAAGCATCCTCTTAGATCTATCACTATAGATCTGAATCCCCAATATATAGGATGCTTCCCCTAAGTCCTTCATGGAGAAATGTCTAGATTGTTAGGACCATATAGGCACTAAGAGGGTGGGGTAAATTTGTGCTTTCGAAAAATCACGAAAAATTACATTCGACAAAAGTCAATAATAAAAGAAAGCTCAATTTAGAGTAAGTGTAAAGTGGAGTGAGCAATAAAATCAGTAAACAATAAAGGTAAACCTAAAGGAAAAGAGCATATCAAATTTATAGTGGTTCGATCATCATGACCTATATCCACTCTCGATTCCTCTTCACTTGAGGCCACCGGCTTCTACTACCGATCTTTTTTCAACGGGCGAAGATCAACTATCCTTACAACCCTTTCTCCTTTTGAGAGGCTCAGGAGAGAACATTTACACCCCCTTTTTATAAGCTAACCCTCACACACCTCCCTTAGATCTACTTATAAGCTCAAGGAGGAGGGAACTCAATGTTTCGGTAGAGTTTTCTTAGTTTTTTCTTTAAGAATTCTTGCTCCTTTCTTGCTACCCAAGTGGGATATTTATAGGCCCCAAATGATTTAAAAAATAGAGTAAAAAATTTAAATTTTTAGGTCTTCCGAGTATGGGTAGTACCACCGCGTACATTGGGCGGTACCACCACCTACTAGTTTGACACTAAGTGGTACCACCGCCTAGTTTGGTGGTATTATTACTTGATACACTAACACTGGGCAGTACCACAGCTTGACAAATTAGAAAAGTGTGCTTTTGACTTTTCTAGCTCATATGTGGTTCTACCTAAACTTGGGTCACAGAATGGGCCTTCCACTTGGCCCAAAACAGTCCCAACTCAGGCCCAATGGGCCCCTAATTGAGTTGACATGGTTACACCCCAAATTGACTTAAGTAGATTTTAAGCTTTGACCAAGACTTAATTACAATCATGAAGCTTACATTGTCTAGCATGTCATTGGTACATCCAGCACTTCATCCGATCCTTCGGCATATCATCCTCTCATTCGGTGTATTGCCCAATCAACA